TGGTCTATCTCCAAGAAACCCACTTTAAAACCGACTCTGCTCCGAAACTCAGTAACCACATAAACACCCAAGGCTTCTACAGAAATAACCCGGAAGGGAAATCTAAGGGGACAGCAATACTACACAAATCCATACCCTTCGTAGCTGACTCGACCATGACGGATAATTCGGGCAGATATGTATTTGTTAGGGATAAAATCCTGGACGAAACCTATACCTTTGCCAACATCTATGCCCCAAACACGCGACAGGATAAATTCCTTCGGGACACACTCCGGGCCCTGCACGAGTTCACGACAGGCTGTCTGGTCCTGGGAGGGGACTTCAACATCCCCTTACACCCAACGATGGACGCTTCCAGGGGCCACTCATCGACACCCCCCCCCACCCCCCCCAACACTGCTCAAAATTCGTAAACTTCTCCATCAGTACAGGCTTATGGATTGCTGGAGGGCGACACACCCGACGGCTAGGGACTACACCTTCTATTCGACCCCGAATGAATGTTACACACGCATCGACTACTTCTTCCTTCCATATTACCACCTACCCAGATTGCGTGACTCAGCCATAGGGGGGACAATGTGGTCCGACCACGCACCACTCACATCGCCACTATGCAAACCCAAAACTACGTCATGGAGGCTCCGCGAAAGCCTTCTCTCCAACCCGCAGGTGACCCGAGAAATACAACAAGCCCTGACGAATTACGTTGCTGAGAACTTACCGCAGGACACATCCCCCCTCTTGACATGGGAGGCCCACAAGTGTGTGATTAGAGGGATCCTTATCTCACACTCCTCTGCCCTGAAAAGGGCACGAGAACATACGATCCGAGAACTAACTGCTAAGATAGGGACCCTAACACAGGCCCACAAACGAACACAAGACGACACACTTCTCGGGGAACTCACAGCAGCCCGTGAAGAACTAGCACGGGTCCTGCGGCAATCGTACACTAGGGCCCTCCAGCGCACTAAATCCTTTTTCTATACAGAAGGAGACAGGTGCGGCAGGTTGCTGGCCAGAATGATCAATAAAAAACGCTCCATGACATACATCGCACACATGCGCGGCGCCGCAGGCCAACTACACCACATGCCAGACCAAATAGCTGCAGCTATAACTCGCTTCTACACAGACCTTTACGCGATCCCCTCCCACGCCCCTCGAGAAGACCCGAGCTTAGGAGCGACCCGCATGAACGCATACCTCACTAAATACACCAAAACCAAACTCTCCCCAGACGCAGCGGAGGCCCTGGAGGCACACATGACGGAGGGGGAACTGGCCCTGGCCATCAAAACCTCAAAGACAGGCAAAAGCACGGGCCCAGACGGCCTCCCCCTCAAATACTACAAAACCTTCCTGACCACACTGTCCCCCCGATATGTCTCGGCCTTCAACTCCATAACAGAGGGACATATCATCCCCCAGCAAACACTGGCGGCCAACATTGTCCTGCTGCCGAAGGAGGGCGGAGATACCGAACGGTGTACGGGCTATCGACCTATATCGCTACTTAACTGCGACCTACGCCTGTTCGCTAAAATACTAGCTACAAGGTTGAACCCACACATACCAGACTTAATCTCTCCTGACCAAGTGGGCTTCGTCCCCCACAGGGAAGCTAGAGATAATACAGTCCAGGCCCTCTCCCTGATCCACCACGCGCAGCGCACCTCGGAGAGCCTTCTCCTCCTCTCTACGGGTGCGGAGAAGGCCTTCAATAGGGTGGCATGGGACTATCTATTCTCGGTACTGGAACATGTCAGCCTGGGTACCTACATGCGCCAGTGGATAGAATCTCTTTACTCATCCCCCACGGCCAGGGTGTGCATAAACGGGGTTTATACGGATGCATTCCCGATCGGGAACGGAACCAGGCAGGGCTGCCCCCTGTCGCCGCTTTTATTTATCATGGCACTGGAGCCCTTCCTACAAGTGGCAAGGGATAACCCAGATATCTCGGGGGTGACAGTGGAGACAGACCACCACAAAATCGCAGCATATGCATGCTATTCTTCATCACTAACCCGGAAATCTCCCTCCCAAACCTCATGGCAGAGTTTAAGACATACGGCCAAATCGCCAACCTCAAGATCAATTATGCTAAATCCTCTATCCTCAATATTGGCTCCCCCCAGAGGAGGGCAGACCAAATCCGACGGAACTTCCCCTTCCAATGGCGGGACACCGCTATTAAATACCTGGGGGTGAGACTCATGGCCGACCTATCCAAACTATACAATATGAACTTCACCCCACTGCTGGGAACCATACGGAAGAATATGGCAGAATGGGCCACACCTCACTTTTCCTGGCTTGGCAGGGTTGCCATTGCCAAAATGAACATTCTCCCACGGGTCCTCTACCTATTCCAGACACTACCAATCCCACTCCCTACCACCTTCTTCGCAGCACTCCGCACCCTCCTCATTAAATTTATCTGGAAGGGCACTGAACCCAGACTCAAGTACACACAACTCACACTCCCCAAAACAGCAGGAGGCCTGGCCGTTCCTGACCTCAAACTGTACTACCAAGCATGCCACATGCAACGGGCCCTGGAATGGGCAAAAGAGGGGATTAGCAAACCCTGGAAGGCCATTGAAACCCACCATGCAGGCAGGCCCCTTTCAGCCCTTCTGTGGCTCGACCCCTCGACGGGTCGGCGGTTAGTCTACCAACAACCCTTCATCACCGCCACCTTTACCATATGGCACACACAAGCGAGGAAACTACGCCTCTCCTCCTTGCCATCCCCACTACTACCCCTGGTGTACAACCCGGACTTTGAACCGGGGGTAAGACCAGGAAACCTCCGCTGCGTCCTCCCACAAAACATACCCAGACTCCGAGACATGACTTCCAATGGGAAAATCTTGCCCCTACAGACGCTCACGGGCACACCCACTTCATGAAGACATTTAGGTACACCCAAATTAAGAACTACATCACCGCCATACCACAACAACCCGACGTCTATAGGGATCTCACACAATTCGAACAGTTGTGCCAGGACCCGGAGCCCATGCCCCATAGAATTTCCCACCTCTACTCTATGCTACAACGACAACAGGGACAACCCCCACCCCCCTTCATGTCCAAATGGGAGACCGCCATAGAAGAAACACTTACCGAGACCCAGTGGCACAAGATCTGCGACCTAGTGCACCACTGCGCAACTGCTAGCAAAACGCAGGAAACGGCCTACAAGGTCCTCACACAATGGTACTTGACACCAGAACGCTTACAGAGAATGCACTTAGACACGGACGGCCTCTGCTGGAGGTGCAAGGGAGTGGTGGGATCCTTCCTCCACATATGGTGGGAATGCCCACTCATAGTACCGTTCTGGGAGAAAATAGCTGCCATGGTGGCCCTGTTCACGGATGATGTTCCACCCTTCCAGCCCTCCCCGTACCTCCTGCACCACACGACAACCCCCACACCACGCTACAAACGCTCCATGACCATCCGCATTCTTAATGCCGCAAAACACCTAATACCTTTGTACTGGAAAAAAGACACAGCCCCAACGCTTTCCCTGTGGTTTACTAGAATGGAGGAGTTACGAGTAACAGAGGAAATCTGGTACTCAGCCCAAGACCGAATGCAGACATACTTAGACACATGGACACCCTGGCTGGCACGGGTGGGAACGGAGGCATTTCGGACTGTGCATTTGACCATGGGGGGGAGGAACTGACGACTCCCAGGAGGAGACACCAGGAGCCTAACGGGACGACCCACACCTGGCCCAAGACGCAGTACCTCACCCTACCCTACCCACTCTCAGGTGCGGGAGGATCAGGGGCGCGGGGGGCCAACCCCTCAGGGGTGTGCTGGGGGGGTATGATACCTGTCGGGTTGCGGCCCCGCGGGTACGGGGGGTGGAAGAGCACCAGTTCCGCGAGTTACAAATTTTATTAGTTTAGAAGGAAACGCAGGATGCCCCTTAGGTTATTCCCATCAACATCATGTATAACGCTGGGCAGAGCCGAACTGTACCAGAGTAGGGGGTCAACACACCACTATACCACCATCCTGGACCCTAGACACAGGGTCGCAAGGAGGCTGCGTGCCCTGATGGGACCCTGCACAGTAGGTGCCCCACATGTCCTATGACTGCATGGTGGCTACAGAGTGGGCACGGGGGAATAGATGAAAATTGTCGGGACATACAAAACTACCCAATGTAGAAAAGGTACACATCAGATATAACAAAGTACTACTCGTAACTATGCACCCACCACTTACTCAAGAAAGCGACCTGCGAGTCGCCAAGACACGTCTGACAGACTATGCCCTACGATGTATAAACATGTAAAAATGACCAAAGGGACCTGCGTGTCCATGTTTCTTTGTTCCATGTTGAAAAAAAAAAAAAAAAAAAATAACTTAATGTTCAATAAAAACATATTTACAAAAAAAAAATAGATGTAAGGAAGGCTGAACTTGATGGACATATGTCTCTTTTCAGCCTATGTCACTATCAATCATTTACATACACTGATCAGCCACAACATTAAAACCTCCTGCCTAATATTGTGTAGGTCACCCTCGTGCTGCCAAAACAGCCGTGATGGGTCAAGGTATGGACTCTACAAAACTCTGAATATATTGTGGTATCTGGCTCCAAGACATTCCTATACACGCTTATAGTAAGCGCTTAGCTGATATGGGTGTTTGGTGAAACATGCAGTTAAGAAAGTGCTTGGAGCTTAAAGGACCACTATAGTGCCCCCACCCTCAGGGTCCCCCTCCCGCCCAGTTTCTCTGAAACTGCTATGTTTATAAAAAAAATGGGTTAATCCTAGCTGGACCTGGCACCTAGACCACTTTCATTAAGCTGAAGTGGTCTGGGTGCTTAGAGTGGTCCTTTAATGAGAAAAAAAACTGTTTCCCCACCAGGTCCAAAAATTAATATAATGAATAAACCCAAAGCACACCAGGAGTAGTTGCATATAGAAAATATTTTATTCATATAAATATACAGTAAAACCATGCAGACAAAGTATACAAGTGAAAGTATACAGTACAGGCATGCAAACAGTATGGAACATACATATAACCACATGAACCTCAATATAAAGTGCTCATAATATGAAACCATATATAAATGTAACCACAGGCGTACTGACCTAGAGCAGGAGATAAGTACCCCGACGTTTCGGCACACAGCCTTCCTCAAGGGGAATCTCCCTTGAGGAAGGCTGTGTGATGAAACGTCGGGGTATTTATCTCCTGCTCTAGGTCTAAGTAGTGCCAGATCACCCTTTATGCAAATTGGATTTAGGCTGTGGCAGGTGAGTTTAGGCAGAAATAGACAAGTAACTCTATCCACGACTTTTGGTGTGAGATGACGGTTTAGGAAGAGGTGTTCTGTGAGCTAGCAAGGTACTAGGCCAGTGATGGTGAACATTTTTGAGCCCAAGTGCCCAAACTGCAATACATTTGCAACTTTTTTCTCCTCAAAGTTCCAACACTGCAATTACACCTGAATACTGAGGTTTAAGTTTAGAAAAATCAACTCGTACAGTTGTCCGAACTAATTAACATCTTTTGTTTTAAAAGAACACAACAGACAGAGTTCAATGATACAAATTTTAAATAATGATATAAATAGATAAAATTAAGCTTATATTTATTAGTATCTCCAACAAATGCAATACATACACACAGACTGCTGAACACATTCACACACCGACTGCTTAATACATACACACGACACACACACTGACTACTTAATACATACACCCACCAACACACAGACTGACTGCTAAATACATACACACAGTCCGCTAAATACACACACAAACATACACACACAGTCCGCTGAATACACACACACACAGATTGCTGAGTACACACAGTCTGCTGAATACATACACACAGTCTGCTGAATACACACACACACTGCTGAATACATAAAGACTGCTGAATACACACATACATATACTGCATTGAGGGGTGCAGTGTATGTGTTTGTGTGTAAGGGTGTGGAGTATGTGTGGGAGGGGGGTGTGTGTGTGTGAGGTGCTGTGTTGTGTGTGAGGTGCTTTGTTGTGTGTGTGTGGGGGGATAGGAGTTCTGTGTGTCAGGGGGTAGGGGTGCTGTGTGTGGGGGGTAGGGGTTCTGTGTGTCGGGTAGGAGGTGCTGTGTGTGTGGGGGAAAGGGTTGCTGTGTGTGGGGGGGGGTGGTGTGTGGGGTGAGGGGTGCTGTGTGTGAGGTGGGTGATGGGTGCTGTGTGTGTGTGGGGGAGGGGTGCTCTGTGTGTGGGGGTAGGGTGCTGTTGGGAGGGTTCTGTTTGTGTGGGGGTAGGGGTGCTGTGGGGGGTGCTGTGTGTGGGGCAGAGTGCCCTGTGTGTGGGTGTACATGTGCTGGGGAGGGGTGCTGTGGGGGGGGAGGGGTGCTGTGTGTGGGGGTAGGGTGCTGTGGGTGGGGGTTGAAGATACATTAAAAAAAAAAAAAGTATAGTAAATCAGTATCCCCCCTCTCTTCTTCTTAACTTTGGTGAAGGGGGGGGGGGGAGGATAGCCATCCCTGGTGGTCCGGTGATGGTAAGTATGTAGGACAAGTCCTGCAGCTCTCCTGTCCTCCTGTGCGCAGAATGCTGTGTGGAGCGTTGCCGTGGGAGGACAGGAGAGCTGCTTCCGAGATCCTTCCCCCTGCTTCCGGTCCTCCCGACAAGAAAGCAGAGTAGGCACCTGCCGATTTGGGCAGACAGGTGCCTACTCTGCATTGATGGCGAACGTATGGCTGTTTGCCCAAAGAGAGGACCCGGCGTGCCACAGATTCACCATCACTGCACTAGGCCATGATCCTCCTGATGTTGCTGAACTACAACTCCCATAATTCTTTGAATTAAATAGATAGCCAGAGAATCATGGGAATTGTAGTTCTACAACATTTGGAGACAAAGAGTTTGGAGAACCCTGCACTAGGCAAATCTTTGTCAACGTAAAATATTCCAGACCCCAAATTAAATCTAAAAAACACACTGCCAACACATCTCGCCTACTTCTGTCTCTCAGTAGATTTATAGCAGGGAGTGCTATTCTAGACCTGACAGATGTACAGATCATTAATACTGCCAATGATCCTCACCCTGCCTTGATCCCAGACAGAGATGGTAGCAAGAAGAGGCTCTGTGAAGGTGGCATTGAAGGTGTGTAAGTGTGTGATAGAGTTACCCATCTCGTAAAATGATAGCAGCCCCAATTTATAGTCCAAGTATATCCCTAATCTCTGGCTGGATGGTCTGCAATTTAAAGTACTTACCATCCTGTCAGAGAGCACTGAATAATTATTCCTGTAGGCTCGTAATCTCCAGGATTTGCAATCTCCAACAAAGGACTCTATTTTACCAGTGTAGCTATGGTCGTATGACAGACGTCCCTTTCTATCTATGCTGGGATAGGCCATCCCTATAATCCACCCATCCTTACTGGTCTCCACTTCCCAGTAATGTCGTCCAAAGGTAATTACTCTGTTGCTTAAAACCTGAGGATAAAACTGAAATCTCATCGGGGTATCTGGACGACTCTGGCTGTAGCATACTGCGTAGGTACTTTGCAAGCATTTCGACACACTTACTAGATTACTGGCTGTGTTTTCATCTAGAAATATGTCTGTTGTTATTTTTACATCAAGCAATGTCTTTGAAACCATTATAATATTATGCCTTTTCTTTAAATCTTGTATTAAAACAGCTAAGTTCATCTGAAATACATGCGCAATACCAGGGATATCTAGATCCTTTTCTCCTTCTTTCTTTGGAGCATCACAAAATCCATTCCTGAGAGATTGCTTTTCTTGTAAAATATTTAATGGATCAGGTGTTTTTAATAATTCCGTAGTGTGACTTATCTTCTTGGCGAGTTCATTCATCCTTTTTTCCTGCTTCTGCATTAGATGTGAGCAGTCAATAAGGATTAAATCTTCTTGTCTTGAGATCTCATTCAGGACAATCTTCTCTAGAAGCTCCAAATGTTCCTTTATATCCTTAATCTCTTTAGTCACTTGTTTTCTTAAACCAGCTGCTTTTTCTTTCACAATTGCCATGTGTTTCTGCAGGTACTGATTTCTTTTCTCTGCGTTCTCTTGTTGCAAGTTTAGCTCCGCTAGAATTTGTATCAGTTTCTCCTTTTTCTTCTTATTGGCATAATTTAGAGTGTCAAAATGATGTCCCTTGTGGCTACCAGCCAGGCTGCAGGAAACACAGATACAGGTACAATCCTCGGTGCAGTAATATTTTAGGATTTCGTTGTGGACAGAGCATTTCCTATTCCGCGGGGAGTTGGTGGGTTCTATTAGAATATGTTCTGCTGACTTACTGTGGACCTTCAGGTGGTTTCCACACACAGAAGCTTCACAATGCAGACATGTTTTAGCAGCAGGTACAGAAGCATGGAGACAGTAAGTACAAGGAATCCCTGTAACTTCCTTTACTGGCTGTACTGGCTGAGCAGATTGGAGGCGTTCCACGATGTTACACAGAGTTGTGTTTCTCTGCAGTGCTGGACGATACTGTGACTCTGCTCTGCACTCAGGACAGGTATAAATTCCAGATTCCTGCTGTGTATCCAGCACATTCCCAATGCAGAGCAGGCAGAAGTTGTGTCCACATGTCAGAGTTACTGGATCGGTATAAATATTCAGGCAGATGGAGCAGTTTAGCTCATCTCTCAGGTCTGCAGACGCCATCATTATGAGCTGAAATGAAACTCCAATTCTGTGTAGTGCACACGTGTTTGGAAGAGACTTTGTTTCAGTTAAACTATCAGACCGACCTTCCTGTTAACCCCGCCTGTTTCTGACTGCACATTCCAGAGTCTGTAAGAGTGATCTAAGGATTGTGTTGTTTCATACTAGAGTTGTGTACTCTGTAAACCAGAAGATATTGTTTAGCTCTTAAATTGGTCCCCCATGGTCCCATAACAAAAGCTGACTGTGAATGTGTTAACTTATCTACTAAGACCTTGATTTGAGGCTGCACTGTGGGAGGTTGAGGAGATACTCTATTGTAAACTTTGTTGACTATATGCAAACGCTTGGGGGGAGCTTGGTGGGAGGAATTGCAGAAGCCATTGGGATTTGTCAGTTGTATATGGAGGGGAGAATCTAGTACACTTGTATTGCTATACAAAGGGATAGCAGGAGCACCATAAAACAGGCATGCATAATTTTATTCAACATTGTCGCAGTCACAGTCATCAGCTGCAGGGAAAAAGTTTCTGCTAAAGCCACTGCATAGCTAATTAAGCAAAACAAATGGTGGTTATCAGTTAAACCCCCATCATTGATTTCTATTCACTTCTGTCTTCTATTGGCATTCTGATCCTCAGACTGTCCTTAGGAATGTCTCCCCCTCCCACGGTTTTCCTGTTTTCTCTGCTCACCAGCTCTTTTGTTTGATATTTATGTCACAGTTAACCCTTTAACTACAGAGACAATTTTACAAATTCTAATGAAAAACAAAACCTAGAATTTGAGCTAGGTCTGTTCAACCATAACTTGACTCTCTTTTTATATTATTATATTATACTCTTTTATTATTATTATTATTATTATATTAAGTGCACCAACTTTTATTGTGTCTTTTTTTTTAAGAAGAAATAGGGCTTTCAGTTCAAACCAAATATTTGTATATGGAACACAATGTATTGAATTTTATGAATAAAATTTAACAAAGTAATCAAATAAAAGTAGCTTAAGAAATTTTATCTTTCCATCTTCTGCCTGACCGTTTAACTGTGAATGTGTCACGGCTGCTAGTGTGGTCCAACACGCAGAAACTATGTAAATATGTACATAAAAAAGGAAAGGAAATAAAAGGACAGAGCGTAAACCGGACCTTAGAATGGCCGGACTAATACGCTAGAGATAGAGAATGGTCAAAGGGAAAGCCGAGGTCAAGGAACCAGAAATACTCAGATACCATTGAAACAAGCCAAGTCAGGGGAACCAGAATTCGGAATAACCAAGGAAAAGCCAAGATCAGGATACCAGGAAGTAATATTCACAAAGATAAACGCACTCTCGGGAACCAGGAACAGGAAACCACGACAGGGCAAGGAACTGGAGTGAATTATTGATTTAAATATCCCTCTCTGATTGGTCAGATCGTGTTAAAATCGGTTTGAACTGGGCAGATCCACCATGAAATCCATGGCTAAATGGGTCCATGGAGTATTAGGTATCGGCAGTGGTTGTAGCAGCCCAGGAGGAGATTTGTGAGAGGCTTTAGAAACGGAACGAGAGGCTTTAGAAACGGAACATATTTGACATGCCCCTACATAATCTTTGATGTCGTTCCTAAGTGTAGGCCACCAGAACCTCCTGGAGATAGCAGAGAGGGTTTTATGAACTCCAGGATGACCTGCTGTCAAATCCAAGTACCTTTTTACTTAAAGGTGGTGAAACATACAATTTATCCGGAGGTCTCTCCACGGGTGCCTGAGTTTTATCTGCTATTATGGCACAGAAGAGTGGAGAAGACACTTCGGAAATTGTAGTGGCAATAAGGCATTCTGGAGGTATGATAGGGAATATCTCTTGTTCAGGAACCTCATCTGTCTCAGACTGCCTAGACAGCGCATCTGCCTTGGTGTTCTTGGTCCCGGGCCTGTACGTAATTACAAAATTGAATCGGGAGAGGAATAATGACCATCTAGCCTGACGAGAGGACAATCTCTTAGCGTCCCCAATATAAGCCAAATTCTTATGATCGGTAAAAATCAGAAGTGGCTCTTTGGAACCTTCTAAGAGATGCCTCCATTCTTTAAGGGCAAGTACAATGGCCAATAACTCCCTATTCCCAATGTCATAATTTTTCTCTGCAGATGTTAGTTTTAGAGAGAAAAACCCACAGGGATGTAAAGGCGTATCAGGACTTTCTCTTTGAGACAGAATGGCTCCTACTCCTGTTTCTGACGCATCTACTTCTAGAATAAATGGTTTGGTTGGATCGGGATGTGTCAGGACAGATGCTGAGGCAAATCAAGATTTTAATTGCTCAAATTGCCTCCTTTGCTTTGTTGGGCCATGAATTGCAATTTACTCCTTTTTTGGTTAGGTTGGTAATAGGAGAGATTACAGAGGAAAAACCTTTAATGAACTTGCGGTAATAATTTGCAAAACCTATAAAGCGTTGTGTAGCTTTAAGG